GCTCTAGCACGCACGCACGCGGGGGCCACCGAGGCCCCTTCCGGGCGCGGGACAGTAGCCCCTTGCCCGGCTGCGCGCGAGCCCCGTTGCCCACGCGGCCTCCGCTTGTCCTCTGGTGCCCCGGGGCGCGGCACAGAGCGACTCCTCCCGGGACCGCGGCGCAAACCGTGGTGGCAAGAGCGCGCAACTCGCCCGGCTGCCCACCCCTGGATGCTCACTCCGAGCAGGGTTAACTGGGGTGGGGCAGGGCAGGGGGCTTATCTATAGTGAAAGTCACTACCCCCACCCCCAGAACTCCGTTCTTGCCCTAGGAGCCAGGGTGACCGCCTGGCGAGACTGACACTCCACCCTGACCCTTGGCATTTTCCTGGATGCACACCGCTGGCCAGGAGGGTGAGGGCTTGTCTGTCCTCTGGGAGATGCACCGCACCCTCCCAGCCTCAGCAGGGAAAGGAAGCGGAAACAGGGAGTCAATGGGCAGTAGGTGTCTCGATAATGTTGTCAGCAGGGAGAGGAGTTGAACGGGAGGTTTCTGGAACTTAGGGCTCAAAACCCAGGGCCAGTCCTTAGTCCAATGGAGAGGGAGTCTTGTCTGCGTTTACTGATGCCCAAGAATACCTGGCAGGGTGACTTTTGCTTCCAAAGATTGGTCTCCTCAGCTTGCTGAGCTCCAAGGGACAATGTTCCAGCCACAGCAGTTAAGGAGTGAGTTAATGCGGTGATGCTAGCTGGTAGCATTTTAGAGCCAGTTATTGACAGGTGCCTCAGCGTTCAGACCATGCAGTGCTCACAGTGGTTGCTAGGTTTGAGTCCACTATGTCGCTATGTTACTCCATCTCCTTGAGGATCTTCCTCTTTTTTGCTGACCCATTGATGTCGTTTCCAGAGACTGGCCCTTCCTAATAACATGTCCAAAGAAAGTGAGAAAAAGCCTCCTCGCTTAGAAGGAATTCTGGCAGCCACTTCCGGTACAGATTTCTGGCCATTTTCTTTGCTAACACCATAACTTCATTATTTCTTCTTCAGCCTTCCTTATGCACAGTCCAATTTTTCCATGCATACAAGGAGCTTGCAAGTACCGTAGTCTGGTTCAGTCCTCAAAGTGACATTTTCGCTTTTGAATACATTTAAAGAGGCCTTTTGTAGCATATTTGCCCGTGTCATACCATGTTTCGTTTCTTGACTGCTGCTTCATGGGTGTTGACTGTGGTTCCATGTGAAACACAATCTTTGGTCACTTCCATCTTTTCTCCATTTCTCGTGGTATTGTTCAGTGGTCCTGTTGTGGGGAAGTTTGCTTTGTTTGTATGCTTGGGTGACACAGAGGGGAAGGAGCCCTGGTGATGTTGTAATCGCTGGGCGGCTAGCTGCGGGGGCAGCAGTGTTAAACCACCAGCGGAGCCAAAAGATGGGGCTTTCTCTTTGGGAGCTCACAGGGCAGTTCTCCCCTGTCCTGTAGGCTCATGATGCGTCAGCGTGGACTCCAAGCAGGGGGTTTGGTTTTGAGCTTACTTGGAGGTGAAGTTCATACTCAATGCTGACGTCCTTGATCTTCATCAGCACTGGCATGTGCTTCAAGTGTTCTTTACTTTCAGCAAGCAGGAGTGTGCCACCGTCATATTGCATATTTTTAACGAGTCTTCCTCCCAGCTTGTTTTTTTTTTTGCGTAGTTACAGCTTCTCAGATATTTGCTTAGCACACAAACTGTGTAAGGATGATGAAAGGATACAATCCTGGCAAACAACTTTTCCTGACTTTAAACCACCTAATATACCCTTGTTTGCTTCAAATGACTCTCATGATCTATGTACAGGTTCCCCTGGAGCACATGAAATTCTCAAACTCGATTACACAACAGGTTAGATCTGTCCTTGTGGCTTGGGATTAGAAAGTCTTGTCTTTCTCCCACGTGAGCATGTGAACCAAACCAAATGTACTGCCATCAAGCCAATTCTGACTCCCAGCGACCCTGTCGAACAGGGCAGAACTGCCCCTGTGAATTTCCAAGACTGTAAATCTTTTTTTAACAGCTTTATTGGCATATAATTCACATAGCATACAATTCAATTGTTCAATCACATCAAAGAGGGTTGTAGAATCATCACCAAAATCAGTTTTAGAACATTTTCTTCATTCTTGTACTCATCATTATTAGCTCCCCGCTTCCCCCCAACCTCCCCTGCCATATCCCCAAGGAACCATTAATCCGGGTACTGTCCCTGTAGCATTACCTATCCTGGGTTTCATATACAGAAAAACATTTTTAACAACAAAAAACAAAGTAAAATAGATCAAAACCTCAATTGAAAAGAAAGCAGAAAATATTAAAAACTAGAACAAATTTAAAATAAGTTATAATGGAGATCAAATGATAATAATCCACTTCCCAATGCAGTCTGCATGATAGCAAGGCTATTTACATTCCTGGTCTCTGGTCAGGGGGAAGTCACCAGAAACTTAATCCACATGTATTTCTCCTTCACTTTTTTCCCTTTAGACTGAAACAACTTTAAAATAGGTCCAAAAATGGGGTTCAAATGATAAGATATTACATGTTAACCGAAGTACATCTGCCATAATTGACTTTTCAATGCTCTCTCCCTGATGACAAAGCTATCCACCTCCCTCTACTGTGATCAGAGGGGACTAGGTGTTTAATCTATGTGTGGATCCTAAGAATGGATTTTTGGTTTCCACTGTCACCCACAGCCTTGTACAAACCAGATGTTTACAATTTAAACTATGATTCCATTTCCTTCCTTGGCTTGGATTTTATTGTTTCTAATCCTCAAATCACACAGGTTGATGTGCTTCTTACATGTGGACTCAGTTGCCTCACTTAGATGGCTGATTGTTTGAAGACAAGCCTTTAAGATGCTTCTCTTTCTGATAGCCAGGCACCATCTAGTGCTAAGCACCCATCTCTTCAATGATCGGTTCATGAAGGTGAGCATCAAACAGGGCCATGTCGCCCTGCGAGGGACAACACCAGGGACACAGTGTGGGAATTGCGCCTGATCTGACCCCGCCATGC